GCCAACTTGACTGAGTCGGACCTACCCACAGGGGTTAGTCAAGCGCACTTGTGAGTTTGTCTGGTTAGGTCACAGTGACATGAGCATGGAGTCCCTCTCTGGCTCTTACCCGTTCCTCTCTGGCACTGTCCCCCTGGTCTGTTTCAGGCCTCGATGAACAAAGCGGCTGTTATATCACACCCTTCTACCATGACGGCCACAACGCATAGCCAGCTGACATTGGACTGAATCCTCTAAAACTGTGAACCAAATAAACTCTTCCTTTAAGTTTTGGGTGTCCAGTATTTCATCCTAATGATGGTAAACCTCACTGACACATATGCCTAGGTATAACAAAAAAATACTGCAAGATAAATGTGACCTATGATACATGCTTTTTGATATTTTCTATCTAAGGACAAATGTTTCAACACTGAGCATGAACCATGTCTTCTGGAAGAAATGACAGGCATTTTACTAATTAACTTAGCATATTTATCCTTGGAATTGAAACTAAGGAAAGAAAAATTTCATGCCCAATTTTAACTATTTAACAAGTATTTTCTAAAGATTCAATATAAATGATCTTATATTTTTGCTCACTTATTTTAAAATAAAATTATGTTTTAGCTTTTTGAACTGTGAGTAAAATATGAATGTATACTTGTATCATATCTAATTGTTTATGATACAATTTTCAACACACATTGAAAAGTACATAGCCTAAGAATGAGTTTTGACTACTACTATTCTTTGGAGGATGGCGAAAATATTTCCCCAAGGAAATCTTATAGTCTGTTCACATGGCCGAGTCACATAATGTGAGCAAGTTCAATTTAAACTGACAATATTTAGCCTAGGACATTGCATCAGTAGGGACACATCAAAGTTCCAAGCTTCATGGCGCTTCCAAGACGTTCACTGAGACCTGGAAGCGTGTAGAAATGACCACAGCACTGGCTTGATCACATTAAAAGGAAAATGAGTTTATTTTTCTCTAAATGAAAACATTTTTAAAAAGCTTTATGGGGCAGGGGATTTGGCTCAGTGGTTCTGCTGCCTGCCTCACAAGCACAAGGCCCGGAGTTTGATCCCGGGTAACATAAATAAATAGCTTAATGCATATAAAGTAATTAAATTGTAGCTAGGTTAGGGAGTCATAAAGAGGAACTCTTTTTTCTCTTCATTTACCTACCCTCCAAAAGGAACTCCTTACTTAATAAGAAAGGTAACTAAGACAATTTGTCTGACCTCACATAGTCATTACAGAGGCTATAAAAACTAACAGCAAAAGAGAAAGCAAAAAAACCAAACTGGTCTAGATATTTTGCAAGCTGTTCATTGGCTTGGAAAGAAACAAAAAGCAGCATTTTCAACTCTCCTGAAGGAATTGAAAACGAGTGCTAGGTGGAGGGGGGATGAAGGGAGGGCAGGGGTATGGGGAAAAATGAGAACCAAGATCTGTCATGTAAAGGTACAAGATCCCAATGGTGAATGCAACTTTACTGTATACCTAAAAAGCACCAATAAACTAAACGAATAAAGAAAAGAAGAAAAGAAAACGAGTGCTGGAGAAGGGCTGAGAATTGTTAGAATGGCTTAACCAATCTCTGTGTCGACACATAAAGTAAGATTGCTCCATCAGGGAGTACACCAGAACTCTCCTAAAAAATAATAAATAACACTTGTGAATGTTATTGCCAAGCAATGCAGGGTTCTCTGTGCTAACACCATCAGCGATTTAATAATGAATGATTGGTCTAGTTTTTATGTGCTCCCTAAATTTCTCTTTTGTTAGAATGATTGTGCCCATCTATAGGCAAAGATGGTGGCTTTTTAAAAAGATAAATGATAGCCTATGTAAATACTCAGATATGACCACACTAGGAATAATCGGCAGTCTATTTCCTAATAATTACTTGAAAATTTATGACTCTCAAAGGGCTGCAGAGATTTTCATGAGTTTCTATGCATACAAATACGCAGTAGGTGAGACTCTCCACTATGCCAAAGGAGCAGAGATGCAGTACATTTAATGCCACTTATTTATTAGAGTTTTCTTCTTAAACTTCTGTCAAGACATAAAACTCTATGCAATAACCAGCACCCAGCAATACCCTCTTCATGCTACTCTGATCAAGATGCCCTAACATGACAATAACATCCCTGTTTGGTTTCTAAGGATTTTCTTGCTCTCCCTAAATCCAACAACTTCTTGTTATTTTACTAAACTTTTCACAGATCTAGAATGCTACATCGTTACTTGTTTTTTGCAAGCGTAACAGCTATTAAATCCTACCTCTTTCACTACCCTTAATTTGCCTTGTCTTGCACTATTTTCTTTCAAGTCACAGTTGTGACTAAGACAATACTGTCACCCACTTTAGGGATGAAAGCTGAATTTAAAATTATGTAAGTACACAAAAATATATGCATTTTGGATATAGTCATTATTTTGCTAGCATCTGCAGGATACATAAAGCTGAGGAATCCATTTATCTCCTCATGACAAAAAGTTCATTGCTTAGATATCCAAATTCTTGCCTAGAAATAATTATTTTTTAAATTCCAGGTAATCAAAAAGATTGTCAAAACTATACATGTACGGCATTAAAATAACTCCCTGAGTTGCACAAAATAGGAGCACCTCCCCTCTCTGACCTATGGCATAGTTCTACTCTCCTGGAGGTGGTCATTTTAGAGACCTAATACTGACTATTCTCTTATTTGCCTTCATATCTATAAATATGTCTTCACAGCTATTTCTTGATTCTAGAATTTTAAATATCATCTGCTGGCTTCCTGTGATGGACTAGGAGGACATAGCTTCCTTGACACACCCTCAACCCACCATACACTATCCTTTTTCACATGCTTTGACGAGTGTTCGATGAAAAATTTGATGAGATCAATATCCAATGGATTTATAGACAAGCTTACAGGATCAGGGGCACAATAGATACAGCACATGGATCATCTTCACATTGCAACGACAGAGGTTCCAGTAGCCTTCTGCCTAAGAAGCTGGAAGTCGCAGAACAGGAGCGATCAATGATACAACCCAAGTCCTAAACGGAAGGCCTAGAAGTTTCCTGGGGAGAGGCTGGTATGAGTTTGCAATGAAAGGCTAACGAAACTAATCTGATATCTATAAGCAAAGGAAGAAGTAGCAAAAGATGCCCCACGCAAGCAAAATGGAGCTTTCCAAAGGAAGGCAGATGTTCTCTTTCATTCCATTCAGGATGAAGCTTGTTAGATGGTGCTACCCACCATTAGGGTGAGTCTTCTTCCCCTTCTCCCACTATTTGGGAGCCTGTAGAAACCTCTCTAGAAAAATGTAACAGACCAAAGCAGAAGTGTGATTTACTAATCCATTGGGCATTTCTTAATCCAATCCAGTAGATAACCACAATTAATGCCCTCAGAGTATCTCTCAGTCAAATTATCCAAATAGTAAACCTCTCTTCCAGTTTTGGGAAAGCAACTGGCAACTGAATGTGTGGAAATATTGAAGGGATACCTATCTTTTACAGAATTTCAACCTTTTACAACAAACCAACTACGGAACTATTGAAGTGGTGTTCGAAGGAACCGAACCTGATGTGATCTAAATTAAATCAGTAAATGTGGAGAAGGAAGAGTAGTGATTTTCAAATGTATATATTTTTTTCAAAAACAGTATCTGAGTACTTTTTCCATCACTTTTTTGGGGGGAGGGGGGTGATGTGCAACTATTAGCTCTCTGAGACTGCCCTAACAAAGTGTTCCAAACTGAGAGGCTTAAACAATGGAAACTTACTTCTCACAATTGTGGATACTGGAATTGTGGATCCAAGGCATGGGGAAGGTTGGATCCACATAAGATCTGGGAGGGAAGTCTGTACCAGGCCTCTCTCTGGCTGCTTCATGTTCACTTAGAGTGGCCCCTGTATACATGGCTGTCTTAACACATTCTTCTATTATCAGAGACAGGTCATATGGATGAGGCCTCGTACTAATCACTTCATAATTTTCACAGATTATCTCCCTTAAAACATTATCTCCAAAATACTGTCTCTAAAACATTATCTCACATTCTGAGCTCCTGGCGGTTGCTACCACAACATATGAATTCTATGGGGAAACAACAGCACCCATCCCAGCCTCATTCAAAAGAAAGATGAGAGCATTGGTTTCAAATTTATAAAAATGACTAAAGAGTTTTGGTAAATTAGAGTGAGGAAATCACAGTTTGCCACATTCAAGATTCATAATACAGTGGAGTGCCAGAAACAATTAAACAAATTATCTTTGCATATTTTGCCTTTTCTCTATTCTCTGTAAAAGCTATCAAGTATTCACTTTTATCTGTACACCACAGACATAGCTACCAATCCACTTATTGGCTTAGAAATGCACTAAGTAACAGTACTTAGCAGTAACAAAGCATTTAAAAATATAATTATACTCGATTTTTAAACATAGGTTATAATTTAATAATTTATTCTAGTTACAAGCTTTTAGAATTTTGAACCTAAGAAAAGTATCAGAGAGACACTGTAACTCAAATGTTAATAAGAACAGATGTATTTCATGACTGTCTGGGGATCTTTTTTAAATATACAGATTTCTGATCTCCACCCCAAATATGTTGAATAGAGTTTCTACAAATGTATATTTCTTAGATACTATCCAGTTGATTTGATTACAGACGGCTTGATCTATCTGCCTCAGCTTAGAGTTGAGGAAATTAATTACATATGTAGGACATATTTAACACACGCGATAATAAAAATGGCCTACTTCTGTTTTAATTTTGATTAAGAAAAGTAGACTAGATGAATTTACTTCAAGAACAACTTTGCTGAAACACAGTATCAATGTTTATCTTATGTTATGAACATGACAGCTAAGAGATATTTTCCACTCCTCAGTAAAGTTTTCAGTTTGCCAATATTGGTAAATTTTTAAAAAATCAAATTAACAAAAATTTTCTAGCGTGTGGAGAGTATACCTACTACAGGAGATTTTTGGAAACTTACAGATGATGTTCTGTCCACTTCACAGCGGCTACTCAGAATAAAGCAAGCTTCAGCATCATCCATCCTAAACACAGAGGAAACAAAACAATCTCAGACTGAGGTAGCTGTTGAGGTAGGATTTTAACCGTTGGTCCATAGAGTATGCGTAGAATATGTGTATCCTTATCTGAAGAGAAAGGTAAATTTCTAGCAGATCACGACTATACTTGATAGTTAATATATGTGCACATATATCAGAGTGGTCTATGAACAAAGTAAAAGCTTCTATTGTCTTTTCTGACTATATAGTTTCACATACAAGCTTTGCATAAATTAAGGATGGCTACTGGCCTATATTTCATGATTAATTACATTTCAACTTCAAGCCCCATGAAACCACCAAAGAGTAGAGTTGCTCAGCATTCATAAATCAGAGTCTACTGCACACTCATATTTCCTAGATGATGCATTGTCTCATTTCCAAACCCCTTCCCCTCATGCTGACATTCTGTATTTCCTAAACATCACGCTAAAGAAATACGCTTTAGTGCTTGATACACAATATCGTATAAGCAGAAGAATGTTTATTTTAAAAATGAAGAATGATTTAATTTTCTGGTACACGGTGATAAAACAAACCCTTCCTAAAAAAACATTTTTCTATGGAAAGAAAAATGTCCATGAAATTAATCCAAACCAAACAGCTCTGAAGAACACAGAGTCATGAGCACTAAGATAATATGAGTGTTGAATAACACTTTTTAAACATTATTTTCAATGAAGCAATTCATAACTCATGCAACTGACCTTTGGAACTTGTCTGAAGAATTCTACTCCTTGTTCCATGCATGGGGAATTGTGTTGAAGAATGTATTAGTTAACATTAAATCCCAAGTCTTTGATATGAATTTAGGATTAGAAATGAACATAAAAATGGATACTGTACCACACTAATTTCTTTCTTAACTCAGTTTTTGGGAGAATTAGCAGCTGTCTACCCCTTTTTTGTTTTCCCTTTCTTACTTTTTTCTTTTTCTTTTTCTCTCTTTTTGATACCAGGGATAGGATCTTCCACTTGCAAGACAGGCAGTGGAATCAATGAGTTAGATACCCAGTGAGCGCTCTCTCTCTCTCTCTCTCTCCTTCCTCCCTCCCCTCCCTTTTCTCTATCTCTCTTTCTTTCTTTCTTTTCATTCTCTCTTTCCCTTTCATTTTTATACAGGAATGTTTCCTATAAATGATTGACTCTGCTGAAAAATCACTTTAATACTACTGACAATAAATCAGTTATGTTAATCTTAAATAATCTCCAGTTTAGTTACTAACAGCTTAGATTAATTTCTTAGAAAAAAAAAGCTTCCATGTATTATACAAATTTATACAGAAAATACTATGGACATTACCCATGTTTATTTTGAGAAGAACTTAATACAATAAATTAAGCATAATAATTATCCACACAAATTAATATGAAGATCCATATATGAATATCTAAGCAATTATTTCTTTAGGCAAAGAAGTCATGGTGTAGATAAAAAATTGTGAACACCCAAAGCAAAGGTTTACTTGAGATACTAGGAACATCTGATGATTTCTAGAACTGTCTTATGTGCAATAATTATATATATGAAATAATCCGCCCAAAACACTAACATAATCTCAGAAATATTAAATCAGTGATGTACCATTCACTACATCCTGGTAGTACGGGGTGACTTTTTTGTTTCAGAGATAAAAATCACTGAAAAAGCCCTAAGTTAAGTTGGCTGTAATATTTATGAACCAGATGTAATTTCAGAGTTCTGGACTACAAGGCTATCCAGTCATTGCTTGAGCAGTCAAGCAACACAAAGTTGCATTTTGTTTTGTTTCCTTTCTCTTCCTTCATGCCACATCTCTCCCTCCCCTCTCTTCCCCCACCTCTCTCTCTCTCTCTCTCTCTCTCATACACATGAGTGTGTGAATGGAGAGAACTTGCATAGGAACACACACAATAATATACATAATTTATATGGCAATTAAAGGCAATCAGAATAAACAAATAAAAAGGAGGGAAGGACAAAGGGAAGAGGAAAAAAAAGGAAGAGAAAGAAGGGGAGGGGAGGGGAAGGGAAGCTCATGTCGTAAAGTTTGGAAGGGAGACTTTAAAATCTGTAAGAGCATGTAGAGCATCTCAAGGGTAAACATGAAGACATGTTGAAAACTTTAAAAGAAGCAGAATCATCTAGCAAAATCATTTTCTACTACGAATTTCTTGTGGCTTCCGAACTAAGGGGTGTTGTCTGGTCGAAGTCCTATTTCTTGACAGGCACAATTCTTCCGTCCTCACGGTTGCATGTGGTAGGACCCCACGCCCTGTGACCAGTGGTTACAACTGCACAGCCATAAGTCAGGTTGGCTGGGACATGCGCAGTCCCAAGAGAGCGCCTCAGCAAGACCTCTCACCTTCCTGAGTCTTCCAGCCCAAGGGATTTTTGTATCTCTGAACCCAGGCCACATAAGTGCTATCTGCTTAGCATATATCGCTAACTCTTCAAATTTAAACCCTAGATCACTACTTTGATATCTCACATAATGTTCAGTCCAAGACTGTGATTTGTGGACTAAAAGTGGTATTGAGGAATTGAGAACTGATTCCAGGACAACAGTGAGTCCGGATGCCTCTGCCATTTCTGACAACTGAGATAATCACAGCATGTCGCATTTCTCCCATGGTGGGGACACAGTCTGCGGACCATTTTTGCCCTAACACAACGTTAGGAAAGATAAGTAAATACACGGGCTTTGTATATTCAACATTTAAATTTGACTAGTGACAGGACCGAGGCTGACTGTCGTACTCAAACATGCCAAAATAAATCTTGCAAAGCTGAAAATTGCTAAAATATAATGGTGACAAAAGATACTAAAGTGTTCAAAACTGCTGCAAGATAGAAAACAGGCAAGGATACCTACTTTGCTCTCAGTAGATCCTGATCTTTCAGGGCTGAGCCTTGAAGGTAGATAACTCTCTGGGACCACATTGGAATTTGTAGTACCCTTCGAACTTGCACATCCATTTCAGTAGGGCACAAAATCACCACATAATAATCCTATTCAAAACAAAACAGGCAGTGTGACAGAGACAATAATTCTGTATCCTGTCTTGCACAGGCAGGTAAAACACTTAAGAACATTCTGAAATATGGACGATAAACTGAAATGAACTCTTACTAATAAATAGAAGTTTACACTCAAGGCAGGAGTGGTGGCCCATGCCTGTAGTCCCAGCACTCTAGCAGGCTAAAGAAAGGACCAGCACATCTGGGCAACTCAGAAAATCGCTGAGACCTTGTCCCAAAGTGAAAAAAAGAAAGAGAGCCTAGGATGTAGTTCAGTATAAAAGCATTGTGTTCTAGCCTCAGTACCAAAAAATAATTGCATTTAAAAGTTAGGCATATAGTAAATATAATTATAGTATAACACATAAGACAGACATACACAAATCTCAGAAATCATTGATTCTAACCTATTTGTAATAACTTTGCACCATAAAAGTACATTAACAGTGATTATACTCTGAGCACTCTTTCAGCTATAAAGTGTTCAGTTATAATTAAAGACGCATGCTAAAATCCACATCGAATACCAGGCAGAAGTGTTGAAGAATCACTTCGTGCCTCAAGTTTTCATCTTTAGAATGAACACTGTGAGGGCTCAGCAGCAGAGCCAACACAGGTAAAGCCCTGGGATTAATAGCCAGCAGGGCAAAAACAAAGGAACTGCGATGGTAATTTACGCACCAATTCGGTAACGTTACGAACAAGTCATTCTCAATAAATTCTGATGAATATCTGAGTAGGAATCAATGAAAACACTAGCAAAGCAAATAAGAGTTTGAAACCAAAATATTTACAATATATGTACCTTTGGCAAAAGTACCAAAGTACTCTAAATGATAGAATGGTTTAAAGCAAACTAATCTATAAACATAGAAATTAGTAAACATTCACTAGTTTACTGCTATGGAATGTAGTTGGAGGAAATTTTTAGAGTTTTAAGAATTCTCTGTATACATCCTAGACAAAATTAATTATTGTGAAATCAAATTTGTCCCCAAAATAGATTTTCTTGATGGCCTAAAATAAATAAACTGGAACTCATGAAAAAAGTTAAAAATCTTAAGATATTAGTGAAGAACACAAATTAATTTTATGAAGACAAAGAAACACATTATATAATTAAGAATCATTAATAAATTCGATTTTTAATAAATGAGAGTCTTTTAAATATAAAATTTCAGTATTTAAAGAGGTCTCCAAAATATTTACAACTCTCTAGAGGGTAGGGATAACTAAATATCCTCTTCAGTGTCTTAATATGGAGTTATTCAACCTCCTGCCATAATTTCATTGAGGAAATATAAGATGAATAGCTTTGCTTTTTAAACTGGAGTAACCATATTATCAGAAAATAAGACTCCTAAATCTACATTGCCTCACAGTCCTGGAAAGTAGAAGTACAAAGACTTCATCTGCATAAACAAATTAAAAGCTGAACTCGTGTCTTCAACTACTGTTGTCCAATTGTTGGTCATTTACTGCTCGTATAAATAGCAACTAGTTTCACTCCAATAAGCATACAAAAGAAAAACATGGAACTTCTAGACTTTCACATTTCCATAACTAATACTTTATATAAATCTGCAGTATTCAAGTGAACAGATGATATTGAAATGGTTTCTTCATTGTTTTATTATATTTTATGTTAAAATTTACTGTTTCGTAAAAATATCATTTAGGCTTTATCCAAGGGATCAAAGCAATTCTTTAATTCAAAGAAATTTTTTCTTTCCAACATTAACATGTTTCCATCTGTCTTTTAGTGTAGATACAGAAGGAAACTTAAGATACTGTTTATTCTTCCAGCATTTTTTCTATGTTCCTGGTTATATTTGTAATTCTTCATTTATTCTTTCTAAATTGGCCATAGAAATAAAAATCCTACAGAATGCAGGCTCCACTGTTCTTTCATTGACTTTGACAATATTGTTGGTAGGTATGATCTAGCATTTGGCATAACATAATTCAAACATACCTGTAGTCTTGGATGAGCATAGAATTCATTTAAAAAATCCATGAGCAAGTCAATCTTCAGTGAACTGACACACAGAACAACATGTTTTTCTGTCTGGGCTCTATGTCGACTGTAGTTTCCACCTGACTTTTGTCTCTCCATCCACAAATATGCCAACTGTTCAAACTGCAAAGTATTTTTACATGTGAATGAAAAACACCAGACATGAGAATTTACAAAAATCAGTGCAGTAGTCTATTATACATATATAAAATTTCTTAGATAAACTCATGAAGATTCAAATAATCAGTGATCCTTTCAACAGTCTGCAGAGGCTACAAATGTACCTCAGGGGCTTCAGGACTTTAAGGAAACACAGTAACATGATTGTGCTATTATATTATATCAGGTCACTAACAGCTTTGTGCATCTGCTCTATATCCTGCATGATATGAGAAGTCATGCACTGAGTAACACAGGAAAGCCTCATAGGTATTTCTCCACATTCATATCCATTTTGGTCCCAAGTCCTGCATGGGAGATAACCTTACCACACATTCAATGCTGTATTTTAGCTGTACATGAGTCCTAACCTGAGCATAATGTCAGAAAGGAAGGCGGAAGAGTGGGAAGGTCAGCTTTGTACCTACACAGGGATATTAAATGCCCCACGGACAAAGTTGTATAATGACCTTGCAAGTATAATTAGCACTGATGAGCACCTGTTTCTGAGTCACTCATTCATGGGCATCCAGGGCTCATTACACGAAAGGATTGGAGATTGCTTCCACTTTTCTTTAGTCACATTTTATATTGTAGTTCCTTTGCAGCTTCTTCACTTATTGCCGCAAATGCAGAATAATATTTGCATAGTATGTCTTAGTTGATCAACATAGACAATTTTTAAGCTATTGCGGTTCATGGTTTTTAGGTGTATATTCAAGAACTATGAGAAATGAATCGGTCACAGATTTATTTCCTTAATCTATTAACCTAAAACTTAGTTATGTGCCTACATGATATAGTTAAATATTCTACAACAGTTCACCATATTAAAAGAATGTGTTAGTATATTATTGTTAGCGGAATAAACCATACTGTATTTTTATTAAATGTAGAATGTTCGATTTTACAAGAATACAAAATTCTCTGAAATGTAACAAGATTAGCTTTACCTGTATTGGCAGAACAACAAGAGCAACACAGATCATAGCAACCACAAAAAGCTTGGAGGACCATGTTTCGGGAGTGACATCACCAAAGCCCACAGTGGAAAATGTCACAATGCAGAAATAAAGAGAGTCGAAAAGATTCAGCTTCTTTCCTATTCGTTCTAGATGTTGGATTCCACAAATGCTAAAGAAACAAATATGCATTAGAATTAACATATGCAAATTGGACACATTATTCTTATTATTATTCTTTTGAAATTTAAATCATTTTGAAATCATTTCATACAGCTATTTAATACCTAGTCGTTCATAATGACGGTTTTCTCCAAAAACTGTAAGTTAAGGCTTCCTTTTCACCGTATACTACTAACAAGATATAGTCTTAACTAATAACCAAAAAAGTGAACCAAAATATCACAAAGTATATTTCAGTAGCATGTAGAATAAACAGACTAAACTTTATGGGTAACACACAAATATGGCTCGAATATGCAATACATACACAGCTAGAAAGACGTGTTAGAATATTTGGCAGTATTTAAGGTACTGAATGGCATCTCCTGACAGTATGCTAAATTGAGAAAAGACAGAAATGGATTAAAGATAGAATTTCTAACCAAAAGAGAAGCAGAACATAAAGATTCAAAAAATTCTGAGCCTGGCCAGATTGTGTAGAATAAAAATGGTCTTCGGGAGAAAACACTAAGGATGGGAGATGAGCCTGAATAGAATGAACTCAGATGCTATTCACAGAAACCAGGGCAGGAAGGCGTTTCAGAGCCCTTTGGGATCGCCACACCTTTCAGCCCAAGAACACCAATGCCAGTGCAGCAGAATGCATTCAAGAAAGGGGCCCAGGTTCGTGTGGGTCTTCTGGGTTTGTGCATTCTGGCACAGTATTCCTAAGCCTCGATAGGTGTGGCTCACACAGGCATGAGGGCACCTCCAGCGGGCCCAGCTGTGGCTCAGGCTGCTGCTCCAGAGGAAACAAGTGATTAATTTGGCAATATTCACATGACACTAACTCTGCAGGGGTGCAGAGTGCCGTAAAGGAATACTACATGGGCTTCAACGGGTAACTGGGAAGGCCACAGAGCTCTATTTGGTGGAGCGCCAAATAGAGCAATATGTAATATAATCAACTTCCTGGGAGAGCCCTTGTCAAGTGTGCAGTGCGCCAGGGCAGGAGAGCTATAGCCATAACTCCAACTTGGGAGGCAGTTGTGTGGTACATCCCCAGAAAAGCCAAAGGTTTTTTACTTTCTTGTCAACAAAACATGTTAGCACGTTTGGAGCTATTACAATGAAATACATGTGTTTTGTGTCTGAGCAGGGCATGAATATTGAGGGACTAGGGACAGAAATGTTACTGTGTCACCATTTCCAAGATTGGTCTTGAAACTTAAATCTCCAGTGCAACAATATTAAAATTAAATCTTTAGAAAAAAACTAAGGTATGAGCCGATACCTCAAGAACAGGAATAGTGATCCTACAAAATGGCTAAAAAGAAGTAGCTAGGACTCTTCTTGCCTTTCTACTTTCCATCATGTGAGAACATAGCAACAAGGCACCATCTTGAATACAGATGGTCTCACCAGGCACCAAGTGTATGGTACCTTGATTTTAGACACCACAGTGCCTGGAACTATGAAAATAAATGTATGCTGCTTATTAATTACTCAGAGTCAAGTACTTAGTGATAGCAGCACTAAAGCACTAACACAATAATGGAATATAATTTAGGAAAGGAAGGAGGGTGAGAGGGCACAAAAGGAAGGAAGGAGGGAGGGAGGGAGGGAAGGAAAAACGGAGGGAGGGAAGGAAAGAAGAGAGGAGTAGAGGGGACTCTACTACTGATGTATACATATTCTAACACAGACAAATTTTAGAAACTTATTGAGTGAAGTCAGATGCAAAAGAGCACATGTTTCTGTTTATGTGGAATCTTCAAACAAAAGACAGACAGCAGATTAGTGGCTTCCTGAATGTGATAGTGGAAATGTGGCAATGGAAACATTCTAAAACTGGATTGTGGTAATGGCTGCACAAGTCTGTAAATATGTTAAAATATGATTGAATTTACACTCAAAATGCATGACTATGATCGTGTGTATGTTATCCTTCTATATAGTTGTTCAAAAAGCTCAGTGCATGCTTTTGGGCACCCATAGAAGCTTCTCTCCACAAGTGGGCAACACAATTATGACAACCAAAAAAATTAAATTATGTCCAATGTTTAAGCACCAGAATTCCCTTTTCTAGAGTTTGTAGATATGTTTACAATTTGTCTAAAGTACATGTCATAAATATTCAATTGTGTTAAATCTTCTTTTCTAATATCAAAATGTAAGCTGGTGAATAGTAGGATGGAAGGGTAGGTATACAGGTAGATAGATGGACAGAGAAAGTAGAGTGCTTATCACTTTACTTCTAAAGTAAGAACTCTTCAGTGTTTTGACTCTGTCTCCAATTTTGTTTAGCAAAATTGCTTTGGAATTTTGTGTAAGCCACAAGCACACAGAAACCAACAATTTGATTCATATCTGTTTATTTGCTCAGCTATCATATTGCATTAGGCAATATTGCCATGCTATTTCTCAAGCTATCCCAATGGCACTTCATATATCTAAAGACAAGAAACCTACGGTAATAACAGATATTTATTTATTTATTTATTTTAGGTACTGGGAATCGAATTCAGGTCCTTGTGCTTTTGAGGTAGACAGCGGAACTACTGAGCTAAATGTCCAGCCCAATAACAGATATTTCTATGGAGTAGATTCTTTTAAAATTTTATCTAAAATGAGATGTATTAAAAAAATAAAATAAAATAAGATGTACTTAATAATGTAAACAATGTACGTATAACTGTTACACTTTGCTAGAAAATCCAGTGAAAAGAAAGGACAATAATTAAGTTACTTATGTTTAAAACTTCAAATATTGCTATATCTTGCTTGACTATCCTTACAAAACCAACCAATGATGACAAGTAGAATATTCAGTTGCTAATTCAGACATAAGGTATCTAAAACTTAAATTGCCAAAAGGACTCCTAGCTTCTTACTGTCCTTCCTAGTTTTCAGTTTGTCTAGGCTTTTTTTTTTTTAAGTCAACTATCTATTTTTCTTCAGAGATCACATGATCATCTATGTTGAAAAGCCAATGGAATATATTACTAACACTAACAGTAGTGGTTTGGCAAAATCATGGAATTTAAGATAAATACATGAAAGTCATTTTTTTTTTCTTCATGCTAGGAGTAAACGATCAGAAATTGAACTTAGAAAAATAATACCATTCACAATAGCATCAAAATATTAAACAAGGACAAATATGACAAAAGATATTAAAGATATTGCTCACAGAAATGTTCAAATGTTGGGCCAGGGATTTAGCTCAGCGGTTCTGCCTCCTGCCTTGCAAGTGCAAGGTCCTGAGTTCGATCCCCAGTACCAGATTAAAAAAAAGAAAGAAGAAAGAAAGAAAGAAATGTTCAAATGTTTAAATTTAAATGATTGGAGCTGGGGATTTAACTCAGTGATTCTGCCACCTGCATCGCAAGTACAAGGACCCAAGTTCGATCCTGGGTAGCAAACAAACACAAACAAACAAACAAACAATAAATAAATGAGAAAATTTAGAGCATTCATAGAATCAGAAGTCCAGATTTAGTGTCAATTTTCTCTAAACTGATCTATAAATTCACCCCCAATCAAAATCCCAGGTTTTGATTTTTAGAATTGATAAACTGTCCTAAAACTCAAATGAAAGTTAAAGAACCCAATAATATTAATAGTAGTTGTCAAAATAATTTAGTAAAAGAACAAAAGTTGGAGGATTAATATTATTTAATTATACATTTAATATAAAAATATAGTAGTAACAGGATCTAATAACTTTAATCCTAGTTACCAAAATAATTTAGTAAAAGGATAAAGTTAGAGAATTAATATTAATTGCTAGATTTGTTTTAAACCTATAGTAATCAAGATTGAGATAGTAACAGAGATGAGTAGATTAAAATTAGACATAGATAAAGTAGATAAAAAGTAGATTAAAATAAATGAATAGATAAAATAAAAAGAGCCCTGGGATGCCTGTGTGCTAAAAGAAAAAAAAAAAAGATGGACTCATGTCTCATACCACATACAAAAATTATCTCAAATACATCATAGAGCTAACTATAAAATTACAAAATATAAAATTTCTACAAGAAATCAATAAAATTTTCCAATATTAAGGTAAGAAGAGATTTCTTGCATGACATGATCCAAAAAATTTCATAGTGATAAGCTGGAGTTTATAAAAATAAAGTTTGTTTTAAAAATAACATATGCTCACATTTTCCTTTTTTAAACATATCCGTTCAACCTCAAATTCAAAAAAGTCAATGAATTCTCTCTTAAAGAACACTCTTTGATCTTTGTGGCATAATGGATTTTGTATGTGTCAAAGTTCAAATCTCCCTAATTTCATCTCTTCTGTGCAGACATGAAGAGATTTAAAATGTGTTATGTTTATATAGCAACTGTATGCAATGAATATGACCATTATATACTGCTAACATGTACTACTAAAAATAAAAAGAAAACATTTTTAAATGATGTTACTCATGTTGCATAGATGGGAAGTCTGTCTCCACATCCTTGAATCTGTGGAAGTTAATGCTTTGATCGATACACATGGTACAAATGACACCATGTAGTTTCAGATACTAGGCCTTAAGAGGTTTACCAGCTCCTTCCTTTTTCTTGAAAGCTGAGGCCATCATACTGTGAAGCAATCGCACAGCCTACTGTAGATCACATAGTAAGTGAACTGCAACTTCCAGACTTGAAAGAAGGGTCATTTTGGATTATTAATTTTTCAGGCTATTTATTACATGACTGAAGTTGAAACAGTAATTGGAAGTGAGACCAGCAGAAAATCTATCTTGGGTTATCCGCCATAAAATTTTAAGAAATAATAAAGTCACTGTTTAAGCAACTAAGTTTGGGGGTTATTTGTTTACATAGCAATAGATATCTGCTACATAGAGAACTGAAGACTCAATTACCTTTCTTTAGTATTTTGTTTATTTATCATAACATACCACACTTGTCTCTGCTTCTGCCAGTCTATTCCTTTCCGCAGAAATGCTTTTCTTTGCAATCTATACTACGAAACTATAGTTTTTTCCA